AGAGAGAGAGAGAGAGAGAGAGAGAGAGAGAGAGAGAGAGAGAGAGAACGAGAACTAACTCTTTAAAATCTTTATCAGGGTTTTCAAGTATGCTTGATAAAGAGACACGCTTGATTTTTCTGTTATTGTGGAATTATTTTGTTCTTGAACCTGTTATTTACATATTTTCCTCCACAGACTCAAAAAAATGCCTCAGTCAATGCCTGAATATGCTCTGACTAGAAATTATTTGGAACTTATGGTGGAGCTTCCTTGGAACAAAAGCACGACTGGTGAGCTCACCATGGTGCCTGCTTTTCAGTCTCATGATCCCACAGAAAGCTGATGCAGATTTTCATTTTAAACAACACAACAGGACACGGTGTTACATGCCTGGATTCCTACACTTGGGGGGTTCTAGGTTCAAGGCCAGTCTGGGCTACATTGGGAAATTCTATCTCAAAAAACAAACAGCAACAAAGTTTCACTTCAGTTATTTTGAAACCACTTTATCGAGATGCCATAGCATAGAAAAAGTTGCACACATGTTAAGATTATGTCTTAATGAAATTCAAAATGCCATTTATGAAATTATCACCACCGCCTACACTATAAGTCTACCTATCACTTCCCAAAGTTGACTCCCATTCGTTGTGTGTGATAGGGAAGCAGCGTTGGAGAGGGAGAGATGGTAAAAACATGTGACAACTGCTCTCAGCAACATTTTTAAAGTTTTTTATTTTATGTGTATGGGTATTTTGATTCCATATATGTCTGTATCACATGCATGCAGTACCCAGGGAGACCAGAAGAGGTTTGTTGGATCCCCTGAAATTAGAATTATGGACAATTGTGAAATGTCTTGTGGATGCTGGGCATTGGACCTGGGTCATCTGGTAAAGCAGCCGGTGCTTTTACCTCCAGAGTCATCTCTAGCTCTCCTCTTTACATATTTTGGAGACAAAGTCTCACTATGTAGCCACAGTTGTCCTGGAATTCACTGTGTAGACTAGGCTGGCCTCAAACTCCCTGAGATCCACCTACCTCTGCCTTTTAGCAAATTTTAAGAATACACGCAGTATTGCTAGCTTTAGGCACTATGCCATGCAGTAGGTCTCCAGACTCACACTTGTCTAACTGAATGTTGAGACTCTTTCACCATCACCTCCCACACCCTCTTCCTTAAGATCCTGACAGCCATTCTTCTCTACTTCTGAGAGTTCTAAATTTCACATTGTATGTGAAAGCAGACATTATGTGTCTGTGTTTGCTTCATTTCTCTTAGGGTAATGAGCTCTCTGTGTTGAAAGTGATGAGATTTCCTTATGTTTTAAGGTTAAGTATAATAGTTGCATGTTAGACTACATTTTCTTAATCTGTTCATCTCAGTGGACATTTGAACAGCTCTCATTTCTTGAGTATTGTAAATATACTGCACTTTATGTCAGCATGTGGACTTTCTCCAAGGTCCCAATTTTAGTCATTTGGGCATATACGCAGAAATGGGACTGCTTAGTCATATGGTAGGTTTATTTACTTATTTACTTGTTTATTTTTATTTATTTATTTATTTTTGGTTTCTTGAGAGAGGGTTTCTCTGTGTGTACCTCTGGCTGTCCTGGAACTTGCTCTGTAAACCATGCTGCCCTTGAAATCACAGAGATTCACCTGCCTCTGCCACCCAAGTGGGGTTCAAAGGAGTGCACCACCACCGCCTTGTTGGCAGGTTTATTTTTTAATTGCTAAGAAACCTCTGTAACATCCAAGATCATAGCAGTCACTGAAAACATGCCCAGGAGCACGGGAGTGAGAGGAAAGGAAAGGGTTAGAAACATCGTCTTGTTCCCAGCATGGTGTACACACCCATAATTACAGCACTTGAGAAGCAGCAGCCAAAAGATCAATAGCTCGGGGTCCACACAGTGGGTTTAAGACAAGTCTATGCTGCATGAGACCCTGATCCAAAAAAGGAAAAAACTATTTTCTTAAATTTCTCAGGTGTTTATTTTCACACTGTCCTGGTTTTGTTTTCTGTTTTTCCAACTTGACAGAAGCTAGCATTATTTTAGAAGAAGTAACACAGTTTAGAAAATGCTTTCCTAAGGCTGGCAGGCCTATGAGGCATTTTCTTAATTAATGATTGATGTGGGAGGGCCTAGTCCATTGCGGGTGGTGCCACCTCTGGGCTGGTGGTTCTGGGTATGAGAGCAAGCTGTGGGAAACAAGCCAGCAAGCAGCTCTCCTCCATGGCCCCTGCATTAGTTCCTGTGTGTTCCAGCCCTGACTTCCTTGAGTGCTAGACTGGATGTGAAAGTGTGAGCTAAAATAAACCACCCCCAAAAGAAAAGAAACCTCGGTGCTGTTTTTAATTCTGGACATACCAATTCATATTCATTCCTATAACATTGTATGAGGGCTCCCATTTCTCCGTATTCTCACCATGACTGGCTATAATTTGTTTTGGTGCTTGTTTGAAACAGGGACTCATGTAGGCCAGGTTGGCCTCGAACTCACTATATATATAGCTAAGGAGGATCTTCTTGCCTTCCACCTGTTCAATAGTAGGATTACAAACATGTCCACCATGACTTGCTGTTGTTGATGTCATTTTAAGAATGATCATTGCCAAGAACAACTCTAAGAATTTTCATTCATTTGCATGCACTATCCAGTTCTCCCTACAGTATTTGCTTGAAGAGACTATTCTTCCCTAGTATGCAGTCTTGATGGCCTTATTGAAAATTAGTAGGCCATATATACATATATATGTATATATACATACATATACATATGTATATATATACATATATATATGTATATATATACATATATATATATATAATTACTGGACTCTGTTCTGTTTCAGTCTTACAAATGTCTTTATGCCAAAACCATACTTTTTAAAATTATTGTGCAACTCACTGAATCTGCTTAGTGTTGACACTGTGCACATGAGTGTGGGTCCAGCCACTGAAACATTGGCAACAGACCAGTGGCCACAACCCCAAGAGAAAATTATACTTCCTCTCTTAATAGCCTGGGCACCTTAATCTGGGTCAGTTCCAGCCTCCTCCCTGCTTCCACATCGTGACCCATGTGTTGTGGGGCTGCCTGCCACTTGGTGCCTTACCTTGGTTGGTTCTAGTCTCCTCCTTAGTCGTCAGCTTCCACCCCAAAGTTTGTTGAATTCTTATCATGAAAAGAAAGTGAATTTTGTCAAATGCTTTTTTTTTTGCATTTATTGAGATGATTGGCTTGCATTCTGCTAACGTAACGTAGTACATTTTTTGATTTGTGTATGTTAAACTGTCAGCGTAGTCTCAGTAAACACCCCACATGGTTATGGCATATAAGCCTTCTTTTTTTTTTTTTTTTTTTTGTCTTTTTGAGACAGGGTGTCTCTGTAGCTTTGGAGCCTGTCCTGGAACTCGCTCTTGTAGACCAGGCTGGCCTCTAACTCACAGAGATTTGCCTGCATCTGCCTCCTGAGTGCTGGGATTAAAGGTGTGTGCCACTTGGCTGGCATATGAGTCTTTTAATGTGTTTTTGAGTTCAGTTCAGTATAGGAATAGGTGAATATGGATAATCAAATAATCCACTGTAAAGTAGCCACGAAGTTTTGCTGAAATATATATATGCTATTGGAAGTTGCCTTAAATTAAATGGGGACCAAAAAAATCATTTTACAGAAGCCCTCAGAAAATCTCCTTTTGAAAAGTATATATGTAAGCTCACACTCACACCACCTGAGACAACATACCAGACTATTAGGAGAAGGTGATTGTAGGTAACTGCTTTCTTCTTTGTTATTGGTTTCTAGATTAGGAGAAGGCTTATAGAATATTACTACTGTAGTGAGAAAAATATTCTTTAAATTTTTAAATTTTTATTACCGGGAGGGGATGCTGTCAGTGGACAGCTGTGTGGAGCTGGTTCTCTCCTGTCACATTTATGTGGACTCTGGGTGGCCAGGCTTATGCAGCAAGCGCTCTGATCCCCTGATCGTCTTTCTGCCTGCCACCCTTTTCCCCAAAGGGGAAATTTTGCAGCATAATAAATTATATAGAAACCATATCCCCCAAAGATAGAATCAATATTTGTTTTTTGTTTGTTTGTTTTGGTTTTTGAGACAGGATTTCTCTGTAGCTTTTGGAACCTGTCCTGGAACTAGTTCTTGTAGACCAGGTTGGCCTCAAACTCACAGAGATCCGTCTGCCTCTGCCTCCCAAGTGCTGAAATTAAAGGCATGCGCCACCGCCCGGCCAATAGAATGTATATTTAGAAATCATTGCAAAGTCCATGATTTGAGCATAGGTTTGTAATGGGTGGATGTCTCTGGGAGACTCTGAATCTTAAATAGAATAATCAAGCAACAATGGATTTCTCTGTCTTAGCTTGTTCTCTATTGCTGTGGTAAATGCCATGACTAAAAGTAACTTGGAGAGGAAAAGGCTTATTACATTTTGTAGCTTATAGTCCATGATTCAGGGAAGTCAGGCAGGAGCCTGGAGGCAGGAGCTCATAAGAGGCCCTGGATGAGTGGCTCTTACTAACTTGCTCCTCACAGCTTGCTTATCCTGCTTCCTCACAGTACTCAGGACCACCAGCTGAGGGGCGGCACCTCCACAAAGGATTGGGCCCTCCCATGTCAGTCCAGGCATGCCTATAGTCCAACCTTATGGAAGTGTTATCTCAATTGAGGTTTCCTCTTCTTAGATGACCCCAGCTTGTGCCAAGCTGGCAAAAAACTAGCTAGCATAGTCTATTTGAAGACTTAGAGGGATCCAGATCTGGTTGTGCTTGTTTTTTTCTAAATAATAAATTTAGTCTCTTGCAACGCTTGAAAGGCGTTTGTTCACTTGAAAGTTCCAAGTGCTGAAGTGACTTCTGTTTGGCAGACCGCCTGGACATTCGGGCAGCCCGGGTTCTTCTGGACAATGACCATTATGCTATGGAAAAGTTGAAGAAGAGAGTTCTGGAATACTTGGCTGTCAGACAGCTGAAAAACAACCTGAAGGGCCCAATCCTCTGTTTTGTTGGCCCTCCTGGAGTAGGCAAAACAAGTGTGGGGAGATCGGTGGCCAAGACTCTGGGTCGAGAGTTCCACAGGATCGCACTTGGGGGCGTGTGTGACCAGTCTGACATCCGAGGACACAGGTAAACACTGCTCTCAGACTCACCTCTGGTTCTGCTTCATGATTTAGCTGACATTGGTGCAGTGGGCTGACCAGTGTAAGCCTGAACTTTGTGTACTCTTACTTGAATAGAACTGTAACTTCCTTTGTGATTGGACTTTAGTTGCCTTTACGTTTACCTTGGCCTAGTAGTATTACCTAAGTAATGATACTAACCTAGCCGTTCAAAGAGTCACTGCGGTGCTGTGGCAGACGTGAGGCGGTGAGGAATCTTTGAGAGCAAATTTGCTCTGCCTGCAGTCTTTCTTTTCCTCCTGCACTAAGGACAAGGTTAGCATGTCCAGCACAGCTTACCCTATACGTTGGACTCACTTTCTGTTAAAAAACAAAACAAAACAAAACAAAAAGAGACTATAAGAGTGTTATATTTGACTAAGCTACATTATTATAATCAGGTTTATTTTTCTTTTCCATTATTTGGCTCTGTGATTCTCCCTGCTGCCCTGATTAGAAGAGGCTTTGGGGGAGCCCAGGTTTATATTCTATGGTCAGAGGGCTCCATAGCGCAGGTGCAAACTGTGAGAACACACACCTAGAGTATGTGTGTAAGGAGTGTGTTCGTGTGTGGGTCCATATCCCCGTTATGAACTGAAGGTGACTGGAAGGGGGCAGAAGGAGCAGTCCAGGGTAGAGCATAGCTCTGGGTGTCCCCTGAGAGCGTGTGACAGTGGAAGCCTTTGGGAAATACCCAGGATTGGCATTTGAGTGTTTGTCACATGCCCTCTATTGGCACTCCTAGGAAGTTTTGTTCCGCCTTAGGCTCCGAGTGGACGCCACTGCTCTGCAGTCTGAGATGGAAGGGAAACATTGCTTTGTGCTGTCTCCCTCCCCTAATCGCTGTTACCCCTGCATGGCACCCAGCTGTTTGCTGGGTTTACATGTTTATAGAAAAGGATGGTGCTTGTAAGGCAGACATCAATTTTTAAAATAACCAAAGACTATATTTTTAATAGTTGAAAAATGGTGAGGTGAGATGGAGAAAGGCAAAAAAAGGAGGCTTGACTTACATTTATGTATTAAAATAATGATCTAATGGAAAGGAGCCTGTTGTTTTTCTTCCTGTTATATCTTTTGGCTTAAAGAAAGAATGAAGCAAAGTGTAGCATTAATTCGCTCATGCAGTTTTATCTCTATGCATAGTTCCTGTCTATAAGCCAAAAAAAATGCCCTTCTTGATGAGTTTTTGTGTTTAAATAAATGAGTTATCAGAAATAATGCAATATGAAACATTTCTGAAAGGATGAAGTTTATGAAATTGTGTTTGTATAAGTCTGGATTTTTTTTGTCTTTCATGTGTGTGTGTTGTGCATTTATGTGTGCTCTCATGTATGCGCACATGTGTACGAGCGCATGTGCATATGGAGACCCCAGGATGATGTGAGGAGTCTTTTTCAATTGCTCTTCTACCTTGTTCTTTGAGGCAGGATCTCCCAATCAGACCTGGAGTACAGCTTGCCAGTTCAGCTAGTTTTGTTAGCCAGCTTGCTTCAGCGATCTGTCTCTACCTTCTGAGGCTGGGGTTGCAGACATCACCTGACGTTTACGTGGGTCCTCGGGATCTGAACTCTGGTCCTCTTGCCCAGCAAGTTCTTTAACAAAACAACCCAGCCATCTTGCAGCTCATGAATCTGTTTCTTATTTTTTGTTCTTTGATTTACAAAAAAACAAATACTTATTCTTTTAATTTATCTCAAATCACTGTTGATACTGATTCTTTAAAATAACTTTGCTTCCTATATGTACAGTTCTGTCATGGCAAGATATCAGTGGCTCAGTTTTAAAATAAGATGAAAAGAAAATCTTGTGACTTCTGTGTTGATAAATTTTTATCTATAACTGAAATGGGAAAGATACAAATAAACCATCTGTTCCTCTACAAAGCAAAAATAGCTGTATCTATAAGTTTTTAATCTCATTTTTTACCAAAGTACATTAGACATACTCTGGAGTGCTCATACCCTCCTCTGCACCTGCCTTTGATATACCTCTTCTAGAAGAAATTTATTTTAAGTGCCCCCTCCCATGTTTAATACTGACTGTCAACTTGACAAGATGTTCATCATCTAGGAGACAAACATCTGGGTATGTATACAAGAGTTTTCCAGTTGGGCTAATTCAGGTAAAAAGCCCCAATCTAAAAGTGAGCAACACTATTTGGAATGAATAAAAAGGAAAAAGTAGTCAGACTTGGTGGCACATGTCTTTAATCTCGGCACTTGGGAGTCAGAGACAGGCAGATCTCTGTGAGTTCGAGGTCAGCCTGGTCTACAGAGTGAGTTCCAGGACAACCAGCTCTACACAGTGGGACCCTGTCTTAATAAATAAATACATAAAATAAAGAAGAGAAAGCAAATTGAGCACTCATCTCTCTACTTCCTGATGGCCAATGTAATGTGATAAGCTGCCTCCCATTCCAGCTCATGTGCCTTCCTACCAGTGTGGACTATCTCTCCCTCAGACTGTAAGCTGAAACAGATCCCCCCTCTCTTTAAGTTGCCTCTTGTCAAGTATCTTGTCATGGTAACAAGAAAAAGAAGTAATGCAGGCCGAGTTTAGGCTTCCTGTATTAATATATACAGTCAGTTATGATTGTTCTCCTCTCTGTATGAACCGTAGGATATTTATTGTGACCTTTTAGTGATTAAATAAGGTAGATTTCTGCCACTTCTACCACATCTGGAAATATACAGCATAAATACAGATTGAGTATCCTTTCTGTAAATCTGGAGTACTCCGAAATATCAAAAAGTTTTTGAGTGCTGACATGATGCCCTAGTGGAAAACTGCATACATAACTCTATGCACAGGTCTCGATCAAAATATAGGTGCTCTCAAGGGATAAGGGATGACTTAGTGGTTAAGAGCATTGACTGCTCTTCCAGAGGAGAACCCACTTGTGGCGCACAACTGCCTGTAACTCCAGTTCCAGGGGATCTGATGTCCTCTTCTGGCCTCCTAAGGCATTACACGTATATGGTACACAGACATATACTGTGGAACAGTGGTCTGTATTCTGTCAATTATAGTTTAAATAAACACTGATTGGCTAGTAGCCAGGCAGGAAGTATAGGCGGGACAATCAGGCAGGAAGTAGAAGCGGGGCAATGAGAACAGGAGAATTCTGGGAAGAAGAAAGCTGATTCTGCGGTCCTGTCCCAGGCACAGAAGAAGCAAGATGTGACTCCCTCGCTGAATAAGGTACTAAGCCTGGTGGCTAACATAGGCAAGAATAATGGGCTAATATAAGTTGTAGGAGTTAATAAGAAGCCTGGGATACTGGGCCAATCAGTTCATAACTAATGTAGATCTCTGTGTAATTTTTTTGAGACTTAACGACTGCAAGAACCAGGTGGGACAAAAACCCAGCAGCAGACATGGAAACTATTCATACACATAAAATAATAAAATAATTTTAATGTAGGTGTTTAAAAATATTGTATAAATTGTCTGTAAGCTATGTGTGTAAGGGCTTTATGTGTAATAATATGTATGAAACAAATTAAATTTTGTGTTGGATGGAACAATCAAGCTGTGTAAAAACAAGCTGTGACCCATAGAACTTGTGTATCTTGCACTTCTTTGTGTTACCTCATGATGTTTATTTATATAACAGAGCGCCAAATGTGGTTTCTGGGTGTTTGGGAATTCATGTAAGATCAAAACCTAATTGTATTTTGGAATTCACCCCTTTAGATAAGTCTAAGTTGTTTTTAATGAAGATTTAGAAATGACTGCCAGAAGAGTAACAGTCAGATTTGTTTAGACATGATATTTTTATCACTTCAGAAGATAGTTTTCTTCTGAAGATCATTGACGTCTCCTTTAGGCTTACCACTTTTTCATATTTGAAACATAGCTACATATAAATGCACACGGATAGTCAGGGTTCCCAAAACTAATGCTGTTCTTTTCCCTCAACCCCCCTTTTTCTCAATTAAAACTTTTGCATAAGAAAATAGATGCATACTTAACCACTGCCACCGCAGCACACCGTTGGTGCAGATGGTGAAAATACTTGTTTTTTTTTTTCCTTTCATACAAAGACAATCACTATCAACTTTTCTTTTTTCTGCTAAACTTTTATTTGAGATTCTGAGGGGGTGGTTATTTCAAGACAGAGTTTCTCTGTGTAACAGTCCTAGCTATCCTGAAACTTACAACTTGCTCTTATAGAATAGGCTGGCCTCAAACTCACAGAGATCCTCCTGCCTTTGCCTGCCGAGTACTGGGATTAAAGGCGTGCGCCACCACCACCCAGCCAGACTTATTTTTTAAAGTGTGTCTGTGTGTGGGTTTGTTCTTGTGAGTACAGTGTCCACAGAGGCCAAAAGAGGACATTAGATCTGGAGCTGGAGATAAAGGTTGTTGTGAGCTGCCTGGTGTTGCTGCTGGGAACCAAACTCAGGCCATAGAAGAGCAAGCAGTGTCTTCCTCAGCCACTGGACCATCTGTTCAGCCCCTCATTGGGAATGATGATATGGTGATAGTGATGATTTTTAAAGCAGCAGAATTATAATATTACCCTTTCTGCTTAATATTATAGCACATAAACTTTTATATATATTATAAATTCTTTTTAAATTTTCTTATTTTCATGTGTATGTATTTTTCCGATCTCTCCAGCCTTTATATTACAAATTCTTTGTGAATATCATTCACAAATAGGGATGTAAACATCATTATAGAGGTGTGTGCCTATGGATAATAAGAGCCCTTTAAATAAACAGAACAGACATTAATGATGAGACGTGTCTGTCTTTCTAGTTTTTTTTTTAATGAGGAATAACAAGTTGGTTGGCCTTTGCATTATGTTAAATTTGAAGTTGCCTAGGTCTTTGACAACAAAGCTGATAACCACAGGGTGTAGATATATCGTATTGGAATGCTCCTTGTAGATGGTTATGATGTATATGTTTTTGGGAAAATGAAAAATGCTAATCTTAAAATTTAAACTTTTTATTTATAGAAACAGTTTTAATTTTATATGTTTTATACAGTACCTAAGTAGCCCTAATTATCTGAATTACCATTAGCAATTAAAAATATGAATCCATGTGTTTTTCTTTAAATAGTTTAATGGTTTTACATATATGTATATATATTCAAATACATTATAATACTTTGAATGCATTCATGAAATTTGATTTTTTTTAAAGATTTATTTATTTATTTTGTACACAGTGTTCAGCTTCCATGTATGCCCGCAGGCCAGAAGAGGGCACCAGATCTCATTACAGATGGTTGTGAACCACCATGTGGGTGCTGGGAATTTAATTCAGGACCTCCGGAAGAGCATTCAGGGCTCTTAACCTCTGAGCCATCTCTCCAGCCCCATGAAATTTGATTTTTAGCTAATATATAAACACAGAATTTGTAGTGGGGTACTATGAAATGTTTCCACAGAACTCCTGTATTTTGTTACCTTATTTATTGTGGTGATAGGGCTGGATGCAGTGTTTTCTGTATGCCAGGCAAGCCTTTTGCCATTGAGGCTTGTGTCCAGACAGAATTCATGTTCTTAAATGAACTTGTTTGTTTCAGTTCTCGGCAGATGTGCTCTGAGATTCGGTTGTAGGAGTGATGTTCTGTACACACTTACACACTGTGGGGATGCAACAGGAAGTAATATTCCTTACACACTGGGGGACACAGCAGAAAGTGATGTTCCTTACACACTTACACACTGTGGTGATAGAGCAGGAAGTGATGTTCCACACACACTTACACACTGTGGGGTGTAGCAGGGAGCCCAGGCTAGCCTTTGCAGCCTTCACTTATGTCCTGCCTTTGTGGTTTCTGTGAAGGAGGCTTTGGTATATTTAATTTATTGAGAAATGACTACTGTGATTTTGGTGAGTTTAGAAAGAATATTTTTATCTTGTGTATTCTCACTATCCAAGTCCGTATTCACCAGCCTCCTTACATCTTCAATCTGTGTGTTACTTACGCTGCCACACTGTTTTATCTGACAGTCAGTCCTGAATAGAAAACACGTGCAAACAAATTAAGCGTGTATAGACACCTGGGTGCTACATTTCTAGGATAATTTTAAAAAATCAGACATTTTCCCCTCTATTAACTAGAACTAGTATTTAGTCTTTCCATAAATCATTATTTATCTAACCAGTTCATATTAGATCAGTGCTTTTCTCTGCTCATGGAAAGAAACCACTTCCCAATGAGGCTCAAGCCTCCCATATTATTTAGACTCAGAGTGTCAGTAACTGTGGCAGACTTAGGTGTTGCATGATGTGAAGTCACATAGATCTTTGCAGTGGTGTGTGAGCTCTATAGTGTCATTCAAAGACTTGTCACCTTAGCAGTGGTGACTGAATCTTTGCTGTTTGATCTGATGGTGACGGTTGTCTTCCTGGCTTAGTTTTAGACTAGTAGCCTGAAATTCAGAGTTGTCACTTCTAACCGAGGAACAGGAACAACCCTGCGTGTGCCTGGTGCTATGGAGAAGACATTTGGGGTTGTTTTCACAAAGCAAAAATTAAAGTTAGATTCGAAATCAGGTGTCTTGGTTTCTACCTTAAGTCATGGTTCCTGACCAGAGTCTCATAGCTTCTTTCCAAGACTTCATGAGATTGGCATTGGCACTGTTGTCCCCGTTCTATAGGTGAGGAAACTGAACCTTAGGTCAAATAATCTTCCCAAAGGACTGCCTTACCAGTGCTGGTTTGGAGTACCCGAGTGAGAAGAATGTTAGCCGCTACGTATCAGCCTGGACTGTCAACAGCCTGCTTGTTATCTCTGGGTACAGAGAGGTTACAATATCCAGACTGAACTAGGTCATAAATAAGAATCAGGTGCATTGTAGAGCTGGTCAGTGTTGCAGGCCTTACATTATTGGAAAACTACTGTGAGCGAGGTGTTGAGGAGAGTCTCTGAGGATCGATAGAAATTCAGCATGGTGGCAGTTCATATCTGTAACTCAGGAGGACAAGGCAGAAGAACTACCACCAAATCAAGGCTACCCAGGGTACATAGTAAACTGGATACACTGTGAGGCCTTGCCTCCAAACCAAAAATAAGACAGGAAGACTAATCATTCATTTCAGAGAATTTTTGTTAAATGCATAGGCAAGAAAAGTAAGGAAAATGTATTTATTATCAGCTTTTTACACCTTAATGAAATACCTGAGGCAAGTCCAGTCAAGAAAAGAAATGTATTTAGCTCAGTTTTTAAAGTTGAAAGCCCCAACAACACCGGACAGCCTTCTTTGGCTACATTTGTGGAGCAAGTGGTTACATTGATATTTTGAAGCCTGGCACAAGTTTGTAAAGCCAGTATACTTCTTTCTAATAATCTTCTTTTAAGAATCAACTCGGAATTTATTAGAAATATCTTTTTTTCAAAATAATTTATTTAACTTTATTTCATGTGCGTTGGTGTAAAGGTGTCAGATTCTCTGGGACTGGAGTCTCAGACAGTTGTGAGCTGCCATGTGGGTGCTGGGAATTGAACCCGGATCCTCTGAAAGAAGAGCCAGTGCTCTTCGCCTCTGAGCCATCTCTCCAGCCCCCTATTAGAAATATCTTAATCCCTTTGTTAGAAATAACATTCTGTCTCAAGAGACCCTACTTAAAAAGTTTCAGTAACTCCTGATACTGCCTTCTGGGTACCACAGTTTTACCACATGGGTCCTCGACGGACATTCAAACCATATCTGTACCACAACAAAGAACATGATGTTAGCAGATCTCCCTGAGTTCGAGGTCATCCTGGTCTACAAAGCTAGTTCCAGGGCAGTTAAGAGGTGTTACACAGAGAAATCCTGTTTCGAAAAACAAAACAAAACTAGACAAGTTTGTAGGATCTTGTTTATGAATGAAGAAAGGGAAGGCTGGCTGCTGTCGGGAAGCTGCTGGCAGACAGACGGTGAGGAACCCTAATTCTCGACAGAGGGCTTTGGATCTTCTCTGTGGGTGTTGGGGCAGAGAGAGCCAGAACAAGGACTGTTTGTTTGAAGTGCTCTAGAAAGGGCCCGGGGATATCATTTTCTCCTCTGAATTTAGGTATAGAATTGTAAGTATCTGTGTCTGAAATCTTATCGAAACCAGAAAACCAAGAAATCCCATGGAGAATTTGAAACTTAAACTGCTTTGTCTTCCAGCACATTTAAACAGAGTGCTGGCAGGCCTGTCCACTAGAGAAACAGAGTGCTGGCAGGCCTGTCCACTAGAGAAACAGAGTGCTGGCAGGCCTGTTCACTAGAGAAAAAGTTTGGAAAGGTTAGTGATTTCTCATGTCCTTTCTGTATTCCATTCTTAAATTTATTATTATTATTAATATTTAAACTTTTGTTAAACTTTTTCCCATACAATATATTTTAATTGTATTTTTCCCATACTTCAGTTCCTCCCAAATCCTCCTCACCTCTGAACCCACCCAACTTAATGCCCTCTCTCTCAAAACAAAGACAAAAACAAAACAAAAAAGAAACAAACAACCTCCACCAAACCACAGAAATGAAAATCAACACAAGCAAAATATCAATAAGACTAAGACAGAAAATGCCCAAAGCATAGTGAGATACAAAGTCTCCAAAAGTACTATTGAGTTTATTTTGTGTTGGCCAACTCACTGCTGTTGGTGCGGAGCGTGCTGTGAGGTGTGGTTACTATCCCGAGGGAGACTCCATTAGAGAAAACGGATTTTCCTTTGCTAGTGATTATCAGTTGCATATAGTGTCTTTGTCTGTGTTAGGTGCCCACTTCTCCCTCTCAGCTGGCTTGAACCTGTTCAAGTCCTGTGCAAGCTGCCACAGTGTCTGTGAGTTCGTATGTGCATCGGGGTCATTCATTACCTCTGGCTCTTACAAAGATTATTATTGTTTTTACGACAAGGTCTCATGTATCTCAGGACACCCTCACTTGCTATAGAGCCAAGGATGACCTTGAACTTCTGATCCTCCTGCCTGGCTTAGGTAGTACTAGGGTTCAAGCCCAGGGCTTTGTGCTTTGGTAGTCAAGTGCTCTACATCCCCAGACCTCTATTCTGAAACCTTGGATGTGCTCATTTCTAATTGTAAAAGAATGTTATTGTATCTAGCTCCAGTACTGCCCACCTTCCCTGGATAAAAGCCATTCCCAGGACAGTTTTTCAGGCTTGCTTGTTTTTTTAAAGGTCACTCTGCCCTACTTTGTGCAGTCACGTGGCAGAGCTGAGGCTCCCTCTGTAAATGGGCTTTGTGGTTGTGTGGGTCATGATGTAACTGCTGCTGCTCCCCTTACTGCTGATGGCTTTCTTCCAGGCAGACTGCCCTTGAATCCCGTTCAGAAGCAGAATCTGCTGTGCCTGGTGGAGGCACTGAGGCTGTAGTAAAGTCAGCGAGAGCTGCAGAAAGCTTGCCCCCTTGGGGAAGGCGCCTCTTCCAGTTGTGTAAACATGCTTACATCAGCTGTAGTTACGTAACGATCTGACTCAAATGGGACAACACAGCCTCCGACATTTTCACTCAGTAATACCTGACTGAGCTGAGTTACGTCCTTGCGTGCTCAGAGTGACGGAGTCTTGATATAAGTACTGTTTACCTCAGTTTGTTGCTTTCAAAAATGAGATATTTGGATCTCTCTCCATATCTCTCCTTCAACCAGAACTATGACTTAAAGTTCTTCCAGTGTCATGGGCAACTCACAGAATCAAACAGAAAATTAGGATCGAATCTAACATCTTTCTGATATATCGTAAAGCTTCTGTGTGCATAGAACTTGTGTGTACTGGCGAGAACTAAGGGTCGCACTTCTCAGTGCCTTTGCCCTTTGCCTCTTCGTCGTCATTGCTGTGACCTTGCTGCTGCTCTCCCTAGGCGCACCTATGTGGGCAGTATGCCTGGTCGCATCATCAATGGCTTAAAGACTGTTGGAGTTAACAATCCAGTGTTCCTGTTGGATGAAGTTGACAAGCTGGGGAAAAGCCTACAGGGTGATCCCGCAGCAGCTCTGCTTGAGGTAAGATCTAGAAAATTCTCCATGAAATCATACTTGCGTGTGAATGAATGAGCATAGGCCATCCCCAAGGCACATACATATTGGTGTACAGTTGCTTCTAAGAAAAGCAGTAGAGCACAGACTGAAGTCTGGAGCTAGTTAACATCTACATACAGATCAAAAATTCTGGCCTCTTTGTGATGTCTTTTTTTTAATTTTTATGCAGTAAAACAAATTTATATGTGTTTGTTGTTCACAGATTTAAGTAGTAAGCTTTTTGCAGAAAGAAGGTTCGATTCTACTCCTGCGCTTTAGCCTCTAAAAGGCTTTGTTAATTTGCTCCATTTTCTACATTGCTTGGCATAGCCAGGCACAGTGGTCCAGGCCTGTAACTCTAGCTGCTGAGGAGGCTATAGAGCAAGATCTTGAAGGCAAAGGGAAGTAGAGGACAGGGCAGGGCAAAAGAGGGGGTTCAGACCTGCAGAGCAGCTCATTCCTCTGTGCAGACTGCTATAGCAAATTGTTCTGTCTTTACTTTCTTGATCCCACATCTTCCTTTATAGATTGGTTTCTAGTTTGTAGAGTGTGTGAGTGTCTCACAACTGAGCAGCAGTTAGCCCTCCACCTGTCCTCACTGCTCTTCTTTTACTGGTTTCCACCGCCGGAGACTCTTCTGTTCCCCTCACAGTCCGTACTCTGCTCTCAGCACAGTCAGGCACTCCAGATGGTCCAGGTCTTCCCATCGTTAGTCTTCCAGTCGGAACCAACTGCTTCCTGGGTTGACCTTCGTCTCCCACCATGTTGAATTTCCTGCCTTCCCAGTCCGTGTGTTGGTTTACCTCGCTCTGTGTTGTTAATTCACAGGAGTTTCTGGATAGAGCTCATCTGGGTGGTATTTTTAAATGTAAATTTTAAAGCATTTCATGTTTTCCACAAACTTGCTTGGTAATTTGACCACACGTGGAATTTTAGATGGGAATAATTTCTTTGAAGGGTGTTCTTTGTCCCCATGACTTTCTGGTTTTTAGTGTTGCCAGTGCTAAGTTCAAAGTCATTGTGTTTCTGCCCTGCTTTTCTCTCTGAAATGTGTGGAAGTTCAGCCAGCAGGGAACACAGTCGGGATGAGGTAAGCATGAAACTCGGTCAGCCCAGTTTAGAAAACCAGTGCTGAGTCAGGGCTCCACGAGTTGGACCTCACCTCGTATGTTTTTGCTGTGTAAGCACAGCACAATTTTGGAGTAACATTTTCAATATCAGTAAGTAAGCTCTGTGAGTACAAAACCTAAGGCATGTCTACACTGAGTATCTCTACAAAGAACATAGTACTTTATCTGTCAGAAGGGTTCTTGTTGACTTAGGAACAATGCTCAATGTAAGCTAGGCAAGTGGTTCTCGCCTTTCCTAATGCTTCCTAATACAGCTCCTCATGTTGTGGGGACCCCCAACCATAAAATTACTTCATTGTTATTTCAAAACTAGAATTCTGCTACTGTTATGAATTGTAAACACCTGTGGTTTTACATGGTCTTAGACTGTTCTGTGAAAGGGTTGTTCAACCTCCAGGTTGAGAATCACTGGTCTAGGAAGAATGACTGAGGTAAACATGTGGGGGTGGGGATTTGGCCTGGCCCTAAAATCACATAGAAGCACTGAGGCTTTTGTAGAGTACAAGTGACATCTCTCCCAAGGATGAGTCTTGTGGTCTAGAGACGATGCCTTGAGGGGAAAGGGTCTGGGATAAGTAAAACAAATTCTGGGCGACACCATAGAGTTCGGCCCATCAAGCAGCAAAGGATCACTAGGTTGTAAACTACATCCATTCGCAGCGTTCCAGGAGGAGGTTAAGCATTTCTTTCCTTTGAAGGATGGGTGTGAGTTTAACTTTCCTGGTTTTGCACTTTCACCCTCTAGAAAAACTAGGAATCTTCTCTTTGTTTCAGTGTTGTTCAGTTTTATATTATATATACATATATAGTACATATTGATATACATATATAATAGCCTTATATACATTATGTATATTGTATAATAACCTGCCTCTTGTGGGTCCCTTCCCAGGCATTTTTGCTGATTCTTTAAAGAGTCTTTGAATTTTTTTTGTCCTTCATTTTAGAAGATTTTCTTTAATTCTTTTATTGATAACACTTTCCTCCTTTTTGTTAGAGCTCAACTTTTTATTTCTCTTTTATATGTGTGACTTTTGTGGCATTTGGCATGGCATACACCATGTTTGTGCCTGGTACCCATGAAGGCATTGGATGCCTGTAACTGGAGTTACAGCTGCTTGTAAGCTGCCATGCAGGTGCTGGGAAGGGAGTCTGGGTCCTCTGCACGAGCAGCAAGTGCCCTTGACTACTGAGCTGTGTCTCCGGCGCAGAGGTGTTAGACCTTTAGTCGCCATGTCTCTTCTTCCTGGGATTCACCCCCTTTAAGTTTTGTTTTGCTTTCTGTGAGATCTTCTTCAGCTTTACCTAATTTTTGAGCGGGGGAGGGGGAGGACTTCAGGTTTGTTTTTTTTTTTTTTTTTTTTTTTTTTCAAGACAGGGTTTTTCTGTGTATCAGCCCTGGCTGTCCTGGAGCTAGCTCTTGTAGACCAGGCTGGCCTCAAACCCACAGAGATCCACCTGCCTCTGCCTCCCGAGTGCTGGGATCAAAGGCATGTGCCACTACCACCTGGCCCGTCTTTATCTTTTAAAAAATAAAACTTCATTTGTTAGACTTTTCAAAAACATCTCTACATATTCTTTTCTAGTATCCTGATTTTGATTCATAGAGATAATTCAATGGAAAAGAATTGTTGATAGATTAAATAAATTCCTTTTTCTTAAACTCTTTGTTGTGTATACACACACACACACATCTTATATTAGAGTCTTTTATTGGATGTCTGCAAAGTTTCAGTTCTGTAGTCATATTTAATAGCAAAGAATGAAAACACTGATTGGAAAGCTGTGAACACAGAAATGGAGTGTAATGACTTCATGCACACTGGGACCGTCTGTATGTGTGTATGTGCACATGTGTGGAGGCCCTCGAGGCTCTAAGAGGGCACTGGAGTCCATGGAGCTGTGGTAACAGGCAATTATGAGTTGTTTGACGTGGTACTCTGTATGGGCAGCATGTTCTTTGTCTTTTTTCTTTTCTTTCTTTTTTGTTTGGATTTTGGTTTTTCAAGTTAGCGTTTCTCTGTGGAATTTGCACTTTGGACCAGGCTGGCCCTGAACTCACAGAGATCAATCTGCTTCTGCCTTCTGAGTGCTGGGATTAAAGATGTGTGCCACCATGAATATTGTTGAGCAAGTGTTCTTATAGTATGAATGAGTCTTCTTTGGGTATATGCCCAAGAGTGATATCACTGGGTCTTTGAGGTAGATTGAGTCCCAGTTTCCTGAGAAACCACCATACTGGTTTCCACAGTGGCTGCACAGATTGCACTTTCACCAACAGGGAAGGAGTGCTCCCCTGACTCCACACCTCTCCAGTGTAAGCTGTCCTCCGGATTTTTATCTCGGCCATTCTGACAGGTATAAAGGGTATCTCACAGTTGTTTTGATTGCATTTCCTTGATGATTAAGAATGTTGAGCTATTCCTTCAATGGCTTTCAGTCATTTGAGTTTCTTCTGTTAAGAGTTCTCTATTTAGTTCTCCACCCCATTTTTAATTGGACTATTTGGTACCTTGTTGTCTGGTTTCTTGAGTTCATTATATATTTTGGAGATCAGCCCTCTGTCAGATGTGGGGTTGGTAAAGATCTTATCCCATTCTGTAGGCTGTCGTTTTGTCTTGTTTACCATGTCTTTTGCCTTACATAAGCTTCTCAGCTTCAGGAGGTCCCATTTATTGATTGTTGCTCTGTGTCTGTGCTATTGGAGTTATATTTAGGAAATAGTTTGCTGTGCCAATGCATTCAAGACTACTTCCCGCTTTCTCTTCTAACAGGTGCAATATAACTGACTTTATGTTGAGGTCCTTGATCCACTTGAGCTTGAGTTTTGTGCAAGGCCTTAGATGTGGATCTGTTTTCAGTTTGCTACATGTTGATATGCAGTTATACCAGCATCGTTTGTTAAAGATGTTTTTCTTTTTTCATTGTACTTTTTTGAGTTCTTTTTCAAAAGTCAGGTGTTCATATGTGCATGGATTAATGTCAGGGTCTTCATTTTGATTCCATTGATCCACGTGTCTGTTTTTATACCAATACCCAAGCTGCTTTTATTACTAGAGCTCTATAGTAGAGCTTGAGGTCAGAGATGGCAATGCCTCCAGAAGTCCCTTTATCGTACAGGATTGTTTTAGCTATTCTGGGTTTTTTCCATATGAAGTTGCATATTGTTCTTTTGAGGTCTGTGAAGAATTGTGTTGGGATTACAATGGGGATTCTGTTGAATTTGTAGATTGCTTTTGGTAAGATTGTCATTTTTATTACGCTGATCCTACCTATCCAAGAGCATGGGAGATCTTTCCATTTTCTGATGTCTTCTTCAATTTCTTTCTTTAGACACTTAAAGTTCTTGTCAAACAAGTTTTTCACTTGTTTGATTAGAATTACCCCAAGATATTTTATATTTGTAGCTATTGTAAAGGGTGATGTTTCTCTGATTTCTTTCTTGGCCCATTTGTCGTTTGTATTTAGGAGGGCTAGTGATTTTTTTTTTTTTTTAGTTAGTCTTGTACCCGCCACATTACTGAAGGTCCTGGGCTTTTTTTTTTTTATTGTGTAGGGGTTATAGGTCTATTTTAATTGTTCATCTGGTCTTGATTTAATTTTGGTATGTGATTCCTATCCAGAAAATTGATCATTTCTTTAAAATTTTCCAATTTTGTGGAATACAGGTTTTTGAAGTATGACCTAATGATTCTCTGGATTTCCTTTGTTCTGTTATTATGTCTCCCTTTTTGTTTCTGATTTTGTTAATTTGAATATTCTCTCTCTGCCTTATGGTTAGTTTGGATAAAGATTTGTCTATCTTGTTGATTTTCTCAAAGAACCAGCTTTTTGTTTCATTGATTTTTTTTGTAT